AGTGCCAGATATGTGTCCACGCTTGGTTGGCCATATCCAAACAGGTTAAAAATAACTATCAAAGTTTTTGCCTCATGTCCTGAGAGCTCCACTCTCTTCTCACACTGGAGGAACCCTGGGAAAAGAATCTTTCCCTTACGCACACGGCACCCATAACACCAGACACAGTAGTGCATAAAACATCCAAGCATGTGCATCAGTTTGCAAGCTCCGATCAAATCAAACTTAAGAGGCTTGCACTTAAAGGGTGCAGCGCTAAAATAGCAGGGTTATTGGAACAGGGGATCTGTTTGCAGTGAAACATAACCTGCACTGTGGGAATGCAGTGTACTTTCCTACTGCTGTGTAAGTATGGGAAAATTGCTGAAACAACAAAATGAGATGGAAGTCATGGGGGGCAGAAAATGGAAAGAACAAGAAAACAAGCAAAACGGGTAAAAAAGAGTAGGTTAGGAGGAAGTAGAATAAAGAGCTACACATTTTTTTCTCCTCAAGACATACAAAGAGGGGCACTGTGAGAGGAAGTGAAAGGGTTAATGCCGGGTTAGTCATGGAGAAATCACTATTAGGAAGTGTTAGTGTAGATCATAGCTGGGAGTTTGGGAGAATTGAAGGGGCCAGCGGGTCAGACACGGCTGACACACTCGGATCAGCAATGGGATTGTTTCCACTGGAAAGAATTCCAGGAATGAGCCAGAAGAGCTATCAGTGACTTCACTCAAAGGACAGCAGTTTTTATACACAGCCAGTCGACCGCACATGCTCTCACACACTTTTAAAGATGCTGCATCTCATGCCAATAATGGGGTGTTAGACACTCTCCCTCACCCCCCAACATACCACCAACACCTTACACACAGACACAGACAAAATCAGAACACCTCCAATGTGCTGCAGCCAAGAACCACCAGCTGGATTGTTTACAGGAGATTAAGCACATGGAAATCTCTGAAGGAAAATCTGGGCTTTGAAAATATATATTGCTCAAATATATAATTGCTCATAAAAAATCATGAAGTCATAAACATGCAGTTGACCTACCAGGGAGAAATTTGAGGAGAAGTTAAATGTGGGTTTAAGTTACCAATTAATATTCCATACTTTGCTCATCTCAAACTGCACTTAAGCCTATTACTTAAAAATTGAAAGCAAACGACACAATCTGGCAATCTGCCGAACTGGACGGGGTAGGCAGGAGAGCATTGATAAGAGAAGCAGCTAAGAGGCTCATGCATCCATTCCTCAGATGGACAGAACCTATGACTGGAATTATTACAATTCATTCATATGAAATAATCTCTCCCTTTAATTAAGCAATTAAAAGAAGTCCCACTTGCAATAATGCAACAAAGTCCCACTTCCAATTTGTGGTAATCCATGGGGACACAGCAAATGTGGAAGAAGACTCTCTGGTCTGATTAGGCAAAAAATTGCCATGTGAGGTAATAATAGAAACTATAATAGAAATACACAGTAAAGACATGTTTGGGCATCCTTTTCTTCAGTATTGACATAGAAGGTTTTGGAGTTTATGGAGAGATGATCAAGGGGGCAGACCTGGAGGAAAAAATTTGAGACTGGGGCGTTTGGTATGCCTACTGGCAGGACAAGGACCTCAGAACCTAAAGTCAAAGCTACGATAGTGAAAAGTGGTACTTTCAATCACAGACTGCAACAGATTTAATGCTTTTATTTGGAAAAGATCATCCTTTATCTTCAAAAATAGTTGCAATCTATTATCTACATTAAGTTTGTGGTTGTCATGTAAAAATATTCCTTTTTCTCGGTTTGGATTACATTTTTTTTATTGGCTAGGTTTTAAATTTCTTTAATGAAAAACAAATTGATTCGACTTCCTGTTAAACCTTAACCTTCCAAGATATGAAATCCATGAAATAAAAGATATGTGAGAGACAACAAAAATGTCTCTATTCCAATTTTCTATAGACCTTCAAAAGGAAAAATGAAACTTAAATTACAAAGCTGGATAAAGGAACAATGATGAAGATAAGAGTTGTTCAGAGTATCAGATTCTGCGTTCATTGCTCCTTTTCATATCACCTTAGCCTCTGAGGCACGGGTCCACTCTTTATTAAAACTGAAGGATATTGCAGTCTCCAATAATATCTGAAAGACACCGTGAAGTTCAGAGGTCTGTCCCTGACGTCACATTATTGCATAGCCGGGTGCAAGTTCAGACTGCGTCTCCAAGGACTGTACCTCTCCTCTAACTTCTTGTGATTTCTTTTTTCCATGATCTCATTACTTTTTCCACTGAGATCAAACAACACTCATGAGGAAAGTTACAAAAGCCATTCATTACAGCTTTCTGAACCAGACACAAACTCCTTGTGCTGGACTCAAAACATTGCAGCTGACCATCTCTCAGCTTGATTTGATATCCCTAACTCTTAAATCTAATCTTTTTGTGTAGAGATAGTGTGCATTGTCTCCCTTCCTGGAAGTCACTGGAGAACCTGCACATCGGCCTATGTCAGCTCTCAGCCTCTTATGGCCTGCCATGGCAACGCTTACAGACTTTTCCACAAGTGCCAGACAATCAGAGATGACCTGGAGGAGTATTATTACATGATGTCCCCTTTTAAGGCACCTGCAAAGTTTCCATGACCAACCGTGGTCCGAAAGCTTCTCTAAATTCATTTTTTTTTAACTTACTTTTTCTTTGACAAGTTCTTAGCAATTCTATTTTTTTGGGCACTCCTTTTGACTGCAATTAAAAAATACATTAAGGGTGTATTTCTTTTAAAATGCTGTAGATTTTCATTAGCTCACAGTTAATGAAAATTCAAAAATTACTTTTTGTGGTTACATAAAATCAAGGAAAAGTAATTTTAATACAGCAACGTCAGCTTTCTGAAGGTACTTTATATGTAGGCCTTGTGCAGTTTATTTACTGAATACCTTTGGGTTATTCTTTTTATAAATTAATTCCACATTTCAGCTTGGCATTAGGGTGATAACACTATCTCTGCTTACATGTTTAAGAAGCCCAGCACTGCAAAACAATTTGAAATATAAGCAAGTACATTTTTTTTAATACAAGGGCATTTTGTTCAATTAAGCAGGTGAGACACTTTGCAAATGGAATAGAAAACTTACATTGAAAATCCTAAAAATAAGCAATTGCATTGTTTTATTTCATATGCATATTCAATTTTAAGAGAAAAAATACTCATTGCATTGGCAGATCATCTTAACTACTCAAATTAAGGGAAAAAAACACTTATTTTCAGAAACTACAGATATTTGCACCGAGCTGGTTTAATACTGGACATTTACTTGTCTCATCATTGTCTTGATGATCCGAAGCAAAATTTGAATCCAGAAGTGACAGTATTGGAATCAACCTGGGTTTTAAAATTCTTTTAATTACAACCTGCACTGTTATGAGCGACTTAAAGAATTAAAAAGTTGTAGCCCAGGTCCTAGATTCCTCTTTTGTTCCGGCTCCTGAAGTCTAGATTCAACTTTTATTCCCTTCCTTGTGAATTTACTGTCGACTAATGAACAAGCTCTAAATCCTCTCTGAGCTGTAATTGTGTCTACACGTTCACCATTTCTTTCCTTCCACATGAATAGACTTGTAAATGAAACTAAAGAGCCAACTCTTTTAGCAATGAGATTTTGTGGCTTATGCTTTTTGTGAAGGCTGATCAGGAGGTTTTTTTTCTGGACAACTGCCAAGTCAGATCTCTTCCCCGTGATCTTCTTGAAAAACTATTAGTTTTATTAAAAACTTTTCCGAGAATTTTTTTTCCTTTCCCCAAGCAAATTAACTGGAAGGCTAAATCAAATTTAGTAATTTAACAAATAGAAATGATTCTAAAATCAACTGACCCATAACACTAACCATTTAGTTAGATTATATGCAAAAACATGTGTGGATCTTTTAACAAACATGTTCAACTAGAACTTTGAGCTTAAGAAAATAGGTTTCTTGGTATTTCAATGTTCTGAACTGCACCTGTGAATATCAAACCAGAGTTGTTGCTTCCACAGTCCTAATGAATACCCTGTACTGTTAGGTGTTTTAACCCCCCCCAAAAAAAAAAAAGTTTTCAAGATGGGTTGAAAATTTTTTCTATGCCATACTGCTCAAGCTTACCTGCTCCATATAGCTTTGTGTAAAACTGAAAGCTGTTCAGAGGTTCAGGAATGAGATTTTGTTGCAAGTAGGTGAAAGATTGTGTGCAAACTTTAGACAGGAAGTAGCATGTGGCTGCTCTCGCTTCTATATATACACACACACTTACTTGATGCATCTGTTTTCATAGAGGGAGAGAGATGTTCTCAGTGTGAAAGATGCCAAGCAGGAAACAAGACTGCTTTTCTCCAACCACTGCAGGTAAGATGAGTGGGGGGTAGATCTAAGTGTATGTGTGTGTGGGGGAGTGGATTTACAAGAGGAAAATTACAGGGAACTTCTGGAAACTGCTACGAGTGCACAGGATTACCCAGTTTCAAACAAGAACACGCAAAAAAATTACTGTAGACCCACACATGTGTATAGCAAATTTGATTTCTTTATTTACAGTCTTTGCAATAATTAATGAGAAAAGTGGTCTAAATACAAAATAAAACAAAACAAACAGTAACAAGAGAAAGATGGCGGCTAATCTCCCTGAGCTTTACAAAAACAATATGGGGACCTGTAGGCGACTTGACATGACGAAGATGTTCTGTATACAGCCCTAATGCCACTCACATGAGAAAGATTGAAGAGACGGACATTAGTCATGCTTCCACAACAGTAACATCAAACTGTCCACAAAAAAAGAACAAAGATTTTTTAAACTTGAACTGGTTACGACTCCTGGACAAGTCACTTGCATATTTCATACCCGCCCACACTCGCACACAAACATACAAACTTCCAAACACCTTTTGGCAATTGTCCCAATGGTCAATGAAAAGTACTGTTTCAGGTATTGCCTAATTTTTCCACAACTTTATGGCATTAAACATATGGCTGTTTTTTTTTTTTTTTTTTAAACAGGAAGACTAGAAAAGATGTTCAATTCATCACACCAGGAACATGTACTTACACATCCTTCATTGGCTTTTTACATTGCTTTAACAAGTGCCCTCTTTCAAAAGCTCATCCTTAAACGTTTAGCTTTGTCATCCAAGCGCTGGTTCTTGGAGGCCAATGTGATGACAGATTTAATAGCATAACTCTGGTTTCAGTGCACAGTAAGCTTGCAAAGTCGGTCAGTTACACTTTTCGTTTTCTGCTCAAGATTTTCTTCAAAATAACTAACAACTTATTTTATCATTTATAACCCCAGCAAATTCTGTGCAGAAAACAACAAAAACAAATCCCAGTAACTTTCTACAAAATATCCACTTCTCAAAGACAACCAACATTGACATCAAGAGACAAATCTATAGACAGCAGTGGCAATAATTATTAAAGCAATTAAAAACAAAACAGTGCACTGTACAATAACTCCCCACAGGTTCCACAATTGCTCTGCACACAGGTATAAAGACTCTGGGGTCATGATGCCAGCCATTTTGGGGTCAGAGCAGAGTTGTCTCTTGCAGGGGAAGAGCCGTTCGTGAAGCACTAATCTGCTGCTCTTGAGCCGAGCATCGCCATTGACTTGACATATTATGAACACAATGGGAAGTAGGGGAGGGATGTAGACTTTATCTGATCTTTAACCCCCATTTTGATGTGTCCACACAGGAAGAAAGGTTAGTCTAAAGTCAATCGACGGGGAGAGGGTCATTTTTAGTTTTGGTGGATGCATACATTTGTGCCATGGGTAAAGAAATGGCAACAAGAGACACTGGATGTGTCAGTTGAATGTGCTGCAGTGCTCCAGTGAAGTATGACCAATGCGTGAAGAAGGCTACTATCCCGCAGAACCAAAGAACAAAGTGAACATGGTGCTGAACGACCCAGCCTCTAGTGCTGGGAATTCTGTGCTGGCTGTCCATTCTGCATGCTGCTATTGTTCTGCTCCTCTTCGTCCTCTTCTTCCTCCTCACTGACAAGGAACTCCTCAGGAGGCCAGCGAAGCTCTCCGCTCTCCACCTCTCCCTCTGTTGGCTCAACCACGATGGATGGGAGGCGGTCTTTAAGCTTACAGCAACGATCAAAGTCTGAGGGGTCCGGAAATATCTGGAAAGGAGAGACATTGATTTTAAACATTTTAGGGAGTCAACTTTAAATTTTGCAATTACAACAAGGGTTGCATGAGGCAAAGAGGTAGTGCACCTTTGGATCAACCAGTTTTGGCCTTAAATGGTTAAACTAGAAGTACTGCTGACACCTGTGCTGTCCTAAATATCTGAGAGCTGACTAAGCATCTGATGAGAACTGATTACAGATTTGTACTTGCATGGCAGAGGACCTGCTCTTGCCCATCCCACATTCCTTCAGCAAATGTAATCCATCTTTCCTCATACTTGAGTAAATTTTTTTTAACACGAGACTCCATGCAGTTTCAGCCAACATCCTACAAATTCATATTAAATGGAATACTAAACCTAAACCTTTTATTTTGGTGAGCAGTCTTCAGATGGGCAAGAAGTCAATTTGCTGGAAATACAAAAATGTTTTTTCAGACCAAAGATAAAGTGAAAGAGTGGAAAAAGTAAATATGTTTAGAGAAATCAGAAGTTAAAAAGTGGATGTCTAGTTAATTAGTGAACACACCATACCCAACTGCCACCAGGTAGAGTTGGCAACACTCCTTAGTGTTGAAGTCGTAACTGAGGGAATCAGGAGTTTTAAAAATCATACCAGATGAAGCACTAGAATCTTGCAAAAAGCAATTTAAATGATATCAGCTCCCTGAATGAACTGCGAACATGACTTTGTGGAAAGTACACAGCTAAATTTAGATTGCTACTGGTCATTCATGGAACATTCTGTCACAAGATGTCACTTTGTGGTGCTGATCCAGAGCAAGTGACATGTATTATAACAGAATTAGTGCATTTTAGCCCATTTAGCCTCCAGCCTTTCCGTTATGCAACAAATCAGACTTGGGAATGTTTGCAGCCTTTTGGAAATTTCAAAGTAACAATAAGGGTTTTGATTCCAGGGAATACACACATAAGAATGGCTGTTTAATATAACTTAAGCCGACTAATGAGAGACGCAAGGCTGTTTAGTCAATTGCATACATTTTTTTTCATTAGGACTATAGCAAAGCCCTGTTTTACAGGGACTTAATTTTGCATCTGAACCATTTTCTATTTCAAACCTAAATTGGGTATGAAATGTTCTCAATTTGCATGGCAAGTATTTTCCTATGTTCTACTCAAACTACTATGCAAGGGGGTTCCCAACTCCAGTAAAACGTATATACCGGTAGGAAGTCACGCTTAGGGCTTTGACCCATTTTAGAATAACAAACAGCAATAACAAAAGTCTAAATAGGTGTAACAAAGTATAGTGAAATTAAGTTATGTTAGATTCTTAAGGTTGCCTAAATTGCAAAAATAAAATGATTTGTCATAGTTTCACTACAAAATGGCTTGCAGGGCAAGCATGAAAGTAGGAGGGGGTGAACACAGTAATGCACATAAATGAAATCCTTAATACTGCCATTTGATACAGATTAACCTGCAGCTTGTTACTCTACACAAACTATTCCTGCCTCCAATAAAATCCACTATTCACCAGTAATAACAGCTAAGCTGAAAGTTGCATTTCTAAATATTAGTAATTATACAATTGCTGCAAGTTTTTTGTGAATCTTTATAGTTAAAGGCTTAAAATAATTTTTCATGGAATAGCCAGACCATATTTCTTAATTTGGTGAAGGAAAATTGAAATGCTTGAGTCTAATATTAAGGGCATGAGAGGCAGTTTGACAAACTGCATACATCCCCTGTTAAACATCAAACTTTCTCAGAAGCAGGGGAACTTGTTCTGGGGGGAGCGATGGGCTGCTACTCTTGGTCCAAGAACAGCATTTTTTTGCTGTTTGGATAAAATAGATGAATATTTTTAGACCTGCATATTTCATACCAAGTCACAGAGGTTCAGCTGGGTTGTTGTCGTTGTCTGGGCACAGAGCCGAGTGGAAAGAAAGCATACTAAGAGCCAGAATGAGACAAGAGATAAAGAGATCCAGCTGTGTTCGACTCTTCCAACCATAAGGAAGAGTCTGAGAGAAGACAGAATACCATAAGAAAAAAGGAGCAAAAAAAAGAAAAAAAAAAAAAAGAAAAAAGCTATAAGTATGCTTTACAAATGAGATCTCAGGTAATTCAGGCTTACATGTTCCAATCCATTTCCAAACAGATTTATAGCATCACACCATGTCCGTTTGCAGGCAAATAAAGGGCGTATCTGCCTTTTGTTTTGTCCAGCATTGCAATATTTTCTGTGCGTCAGCCTCCAAAAAAAGAAAGCGACAGATTTTGCCAACACATTATGGGCATTTTCTTATCCAGGGGAAGGGGGTGGGGAATCTGAATCATGACGCTGCCTTTTGAGAGAATAACTCTAGGTCGATTTTCATCTCGTTTAATTTCCTCTTGAAGGACCATGGGCTACATTCACTTTATCAACTTGTGTAAGAGATTAGGGATACGACTGGTGAAACCATCTCCTTCCTCAGAGCTTCTCTCTAAGCAAAACCTGGGGCATTGGGAAATTGTTGAGATTAAATTCCCAGTTAAGAGTTCAGAGAAGGAAAAAAAAAAAAAGCAATGTGATGCTCATTTTCATTCTGGCCTCTTCCGTTCAATCCAGACTCACAGCTGGGTGTAAACCAAGGAGTCATAGGAAGCAAAGCTCTTCCTCTGGGTCAGTCTGCATCCTTTCTGCATGGCATTTAGAGCAGACAGCTGCTTTATAAATGTACTGATTTGAATGCTCTGAATATGCACTTAATATCTCATCCATGTTTCCAAAAGTCAAAGTTTTCAACTGCACACAAGTAGAAATTTGTTTCAGCATTTAAAGTGCCCCTCAGTCACCATCCTCTTCAGGTTCTAAAATGAAAAACTAATCAACTTGCTGTTTAGATTTCTAGAAGACTGGAAAACTGTTCAACCTAGGCTCCAAAAAAAGGAAATTTGAATCTCAGTTTATGCTTCAAGACAACCCTATTGAGCAGACAGCAAGACAAAGACGCAGGTGGCAGCTTATCAGGACCACCTGCTTCCATTATATGTGATATTTATTTTCTGTGCAGGACTAAATTTCCTCTTTTCCTCCCTGAAAGAGCAAAGTAAAGATGGTCACCTTCAAATTTTTTGCAACCATTGAATCTTAATTATTTAGAAAAACAAATCTTAATCTTGTGAATCTTGACTGCTTAGTTTTATGCCATTCTGGGAAATTAAGTTTAAATATAGAAAATATAATATAAAAGAGTGGCTCTAGTTGACCTTGATGCATAATTCTTCTCTGATGTTAAATCACAAGTCATCGCAGCTCCCTTTTTCTAATTTCAAAAGCAGCTTGTTATATTGACTCAACAAATCTATGCTGTATGTAATGGAATTCCACATTAAACACATGGGAAAGGCATTTAGAAAGGAAGCACTGTTTTACTGTCCGTTTTTAATGTGTGCATTACCTGGAAGGTGAGTCTGTCCTTGCTTGGGCTGAGCCTCATATCCTCCATGGGCGTGTTGCTGATCATCACTTCAGTCATATCTGGGACAGGCACAAACACTGGGCTGCAGGAGGGAAAGATGAGAGATTTAGCGAGTGAACATATGTGCAGAGAAAATGTATATTCACGACTTGGACTATAAAGGCACTGAAGTAAAAAGCATATTAAAAGCTTATATTTGTTTCTTTCCAAGTCATATCTGCACATAAAAAACAGTGTACCAAAACATTAGGGTCACAGTCAATGGAAAATATCACATGGATAAAAACACCACAAGCAATCTATATGCAGATCAAGGCCCAAGCCTTTCGTGCATTCACTTCCCTGTACAAGCTTTAGAGTTTTGTTTATTCTCTGTGCATCTTGACCACAATGGACCAAAACTTCCACTACTGGGTCTGGCGTTCTAATGCACTGCAAAACTGCAGCACTCGTGTCGCTTGCATAAGGTGGCTTTCTACAACAGAAAGATGTGCTCTTGCACTTGCAGCTTGGAACAGTCATTGTGAGAGTGTGCTGGGGGCGTGATGTGGTATTTGAATGGGGAGGAACCTGATGCACTCGAGGCCGGGACAAACTTTCCATTTTATACAGGTTTTTTGTAAAACTCGTGCCTAGGGATTCCTAGTGTTTTATAACCGTAAACATTGGAGAGGAGTCCCTGATCAAACATGAACCCTGAGACAAGACGCATATTTGCCTTCTCACGGTCTCTATTTAAAGCCTAGTGGTCAGTCGTTAGCCACAGTGCTGTGGTCTGTGCGTCTATGGCTACTCGGGCCAAAGAAAATGGAACCGGATAAGATGCTTACATGCATTCAAACATTACAATATAATGGACTTTGCTGCATGCAATGGTAAAGGGTGTGTGGGCTTCACTTGACCTACTTTTATGTCAAAATTTTTCAACAAAGTTAAGATGAAATAAAGAAAACCTGCAGTGATGTGAGATATATATATATATATATATATATATATATATATATATATATAT